TTTTTTTGGTAATGTCCTTATCAGGTTTTATTGTCAAGGCCGTGGTATCCTCATGAAATTAATTGGGAAACATTCTCCTGTCCCTTTAATTCTTATGAATTATTCACTAGGTTACACAAGACTTTTGAAGTTTCTTGGGTTAGAAGCTAAATTCCTTTTTAAACCTTTTTTTAAGTGTTAGAATGGAACCCAGGTTTTCACACATGACGCGCTAAGCAATAGCTACCTAGGTATATAGTAATGGAGTGATTGTTTTTGCTCTCCACTTCTTTTTTTGATATTGGAAATTGAACTCAGGACCTTGTATTTGCCAAGAAAGACCCTGTGCCTCTGAGCTATATCCCTGGCCCCTCTACTTTTTAAAAGTTATGTTTTAGTAGTACGTGTTTGTGATACACGATGAATACATTCATCCTGGGGAGTTGGTATTATACGTACATATCACATCTTAGTCCTTTTTACTTCTCTTTCCCCTCCACTCTCCCTCCGTCCCTAGATCTTCCTCTTACCTTCAAACCTCGCTGTTTGCCCTCCACTTTAATGGTTTTTGGAGGCGGGACCTTTGGGAGACAAGCAGTGCTAGATTAGATTTGAGGGTAGCTGGTAGGGATGTGAATAGTACCTGTGAATGGTACTAATGCCCTTATGAAATGAGGGGACATGAGACCCATCCCTCTCTTATGTGGGGACACAAGAAGATGTGTCATCTGAAACCAGGTCGAGTGCCTTCACCTGGCTGCATTTGCTGAGACCTTGACGTTGGACTTCCCATCCACGAGATGGGAAGAAACTGTGAGAAATAGATGTCTGTTGTTAAAGCCGCCAAATCACCAATGATACTCTGTTATAACAGCCACGACATACAATTAAAAATACTAAGAACACTATCTATTGAATATGTTAGACAAACAGCCAACCTGAATTTAGGGGTTGCAGGTGAGACCTGCTAGAGAAATTCCAAAGGAGAGTCTGAGTGAAGTTTATTGTGCTGGGTTTTTATGGAGGGTTAGTGGGCGGGGCTTAGCTGGGTGCGGCACAGAGGAGGGAAAGATTGAGGGAGTGAGAATAACTGAGTAGAAGTGGCAACATAGCAGTGGCTGCCATAGCAACGGCTAATACTTTGTTGTGAAACGGAATCCGGGTTCTCTGTCAGGTAGGCGGGGTGGGAAGTGGTGCTGTAATTGTTCCAGGAGCTCTGGTGATTGGGAATGTCCACTTTGTGTGTCCTTATGAGACTACACCCCTCTCTCTAAGTAAGCCCTGGGAACAAGTATCATTATTTTTGTTCTAATCACTACCTTTCCTTTAACTATATCCCTTTTAGAACTTTTAATAAGTAGATCACACTGTGTTCTATGAATCATACCATATATGTTCTTCTGTCACTTGATTTTTCATCTACAACTGATTGCTTTCTTTAGGTTGGAAAAAATGAAAAAGGAGTATAAAAATTTGAATACATGGAAAGAAAAAGCTGATTATTTAGAAAGCCTACTTAACCCAGAATTAGAACCTAAAAATTCCAAGGTAATTGACATAAGACATTCTCCCACATATAGCTTTTAATACTTTTAAGAAAGATACTATAATCATTAAAAGCAGTGATCAGATATTGCTTATTTTTTCTTGATATGTAAAATGTTACTCATGGTTTATACATTTTCCTATTTTGATAGTTGTCATTATTCATTGATAATTTGTAAGGTTTAGTTAATGGATTTTACTTAAAGCATTCAATTCTGTGGTCTTTACTATATCAGTTGTGTATCCATCATCAAAATCAATTTTAGAGCATTTTGTTTACCTGCTGCAAAAAAAAAAAAAACAAAAAAAACCTAACTTCACCCCTTATAAGCAGCACTCCCTCAATCCATTCTTGGATACCTGCTGTCTGGAATATCAATTTTTCTTTAAAATTGTGCCCTTTGGATTGCTTTTCTTACAAACTCGGCTCCCTTGTCTTCTGTGAATTTAGAGGAAAAAGCATATTATATTAAAAAGAAGATTTTAAGGCAGAGGAAAGTTTATTACTCTTTAAATGTTTTCCCCAATATATTTTCTTTTTTTTTTTTATTCTAGGAAACTGATATAAACAAGATACCAGAAAGCCTAAATAATAACCAAGATGAAAAGAAACCTGAAGAGACTATAACGTTGTGTAAGAAATTAATGTTTTCATGTTTATCATTAAGACAATAGGAATCAAGGGGTTACAGCACAAAAATTAGTAATTTGCTGCAGGTGAATTTCATTTTTGTTAGGAAGTAAATATATGTTTTCATCATGGATTTGGTATGTAGCATTTATTTTGTAATAGTTCCAAGGAAAAAGTTTAGGCTTTATTAAGGATTTTTCAGAAAAGGTTTAATGCTTGTTTGCTCCTTTATTTTTTGTTCAACATTGTGAGCTGCAGAACATTGTGAGCTCTTCTGTGTGGAGGAGAGAGAGGAGGAGGAGGAGGAGAGAGTAAAATAGAAAGTGTAGTTGGGGAAAGGAAGAAATTAACATTAAATTCAAGAAATTATCCTAATTATCAGTAAGAGATTTAATTAAGGAAAAATACATGCAGACCTTTAAAATACCCGTCTTCAAGAGAGTACTTTCAAATGCAAGATAGGGTGCACTACTGTACTTTAAAATGCGTTATAATATATCTATCTTTAAAATCTTCAATTTTTCAGGTATGGAATAATGATTAGTTGTAAGACTTTTACCACAACTTAGTAATGTTTCCTCTTTATTTCTACTTCCCTTGTTGCATCAGGCTTTTAAGTACATTCATGACTGAACCTTAGGGCATTGACTAGCCTAGCAGAGCTATTGCGTCGTTAGTCTACTTTTCACCTGAAACTCTCAAGTTTTAGGTCTAAGGTGACCACTGACTTCCTTTTCAATATCACCTCTTCAGTGCTCTCTCTCAGTAACTCATAGTTGCCTCCCGCCTCCCCACCGATCCAAACAGCTTGAGACCACTGGATCGTCTAGTGACTACTTCCTTTTGGCTCCTATAGTCTCCTGTGTTCCAACTAATATTTGTTGATCACGTGTTCCAGGTGCTTTACCTGGATTATATGTCAGTCCTCACAACAGTCAATTGAAAGAACTATTACTATGTATGGATAAGAAGCTCAAGATCAAACATTAAATAATCAACCAATCAGAGGCCACAAGTCACTAATTCATAGGAGTTAAATCTGAGCTGGTCAGTTTGACCTGAGATCTCAACTATTTAACAAGATTGCCATTTACATCTTATATATAATTGTATCATGTCTATAAAATAAGGTAATATTACTCATTTTACATATGAGATATGACAGCTTGGAAAAATGAGCTGAGTTAGGGGACGTAATTAAGATGGCAAAATGAGAAGCCCTGTATCCTTCTTGTCCTCTGTAGACACACCAGTAACAGTGCACAAAACAATTCCCTTCTGAGAATTTCCGAAACGTTTTGAGAGGCTCTTGCGTCTTGGGCCAATATAACACCAGCCACATTTTAGCCAGAAGTAACAATATTCAAAACAGCTTCTTGCCATTCACCCTCCCCCTTACATAGCTCCATATAATCAGGGAGAAGCGGGAGAAAAGGAAATTGAAATGTGTTATGTACATGTACCAATCCCCCATACTGAATGTAGTCATTATATACTGCAGACATGTATGAATAAAAGCCAGAAAAAGAAAACAAATGGTAGTAGTAAGGTCTTATCATGCTTTACATGTGAATGCATTAAACTCTCTTCACTAATCAGACATAGAATAGCTTAATGAATATAAAAAAACAAGATCCCAGTGTATATTTTGTGCAAGAGACTAAAGATTTATGGACACATGCAGGCTAAAAATTAATGAATGAACAAAGACAGAAAATGGTAACCAAAAGAGATCGGGAATGGGTATATTTACAACAGATGAGAACCAGACTTTTAAAAATATGAAGAGACAAATCAGATCATTATGAAGTGATAAAGGAGTCAGTCCGTCAAGAAGATATAATAATTGCAAGTATATGTGCACTTTCACCTGCCCATCTAAGTACATGCACATCAGAGCACCTAAATGTGTGTGCAGTGGAGCACCTAAATATGTATAAAAAGAACTAAGGAGAGAAATGGATAATAATATTATAATAGAGACTTTGGCAATCTGCTTTCAATAATGAAATAGAACAGTACAAAAATTAACAAAGAAACAGCAAAGTTGAACTATGTAGACCATATAAACATAGCTGTAGCCCAAATGGACACATGTAGAAGAGTCTACCTAACAGGAACAGAATACCCATTTTTCTCAAGGGTACATGGAACATTCTCCAAGCCAGATTGTTAAGTCAAAAAACAAAAAACATTTTTTTGAGACAAGGTCTCACCAAGTCTTGTAGGCTGTACTCTAAAATTTGCAACCCTTCTATTTCATCCTCCTGGAGTGCTGGACTTACAGGTGTGTGCCACCATGCTTTGCTCATAAATAGACATTTCTTAAAAGGAGATATACAGATGGCCAGCAAGCGTATAGAAAATACTGAACGTGGATAATCATCAGGGAAATGCAAATCATAACTACAAGAAATATCTCATCCCATTAGAGTGACCATTGTCATAAAGACAAAAATAACAAATGCTGGTGAGACTAGGAGAAAGGGGAAAATACATTGAAATCAACTGCCTGTCTTTTCCAGCTACAAAGGAGTAGAAATAAAATTAATAGCAAAAGAAAACTATAATTCATAAGTTTGTGGAAATTTAACATGCACTTTTTAAACAGCCAGTGAGTCAAGCAATAAAGGGAAATTAGACAATACCCCAAAATGTATGGAATGCATAAAAACCAGCAAGAGGACGTTTATAGCAGTAAAAACCTTTATCAAAAAAGAATAAAGGTGTAAACAGCCTATCTTCACACCTCATAGAACTAGAAAAAGAACAAGAAGTTCAAAGTTGTCAGGAGAGCAATAAAAATTAGACCAGGAACAAACAAAATAGGGAATTTTTTTTTTTTTAAACTGAGTTTGTTTTTTAAAGGTAAACAAAATTAGCAAACTATCAGCTAAACTTAGGAGAGAAGATGCAAAATCATAAGTGAAAGAGAAGACATTGCAAATGATACCAAGTAATAAAAAAGAACGAGACTATAAGGAACAATTATATGCCAACAAATTGGATAAGGTATAATAAATGGATAAATTCCTAGAAATATCCAACCTGTGAAGACTGAACATTGAAGAAAGAGAAAGTCTGAACATACCTGTGAATATGAAGGCGACTGAGTCAGTGAAGAAAAACCTGCCCATAATGAGAAGCCCAGGACCAGGGGGCTTTACTAGTGGATTCCAACAAACATTTAGCAAATTGAAAGCATTTTTTCTCAAATGTTTCCCCAAACATGAACAGGATGAAACAACTCGCTGGGGATTTAGCTCAGCGGCATAAGTGCCTGCCTGGCAAGCATGAGGTCATGAGTTCAATTCCTGGTACAAAAAAAAAAAAAAAAAAAAAAAACCAAAAAGGATGAAACAACTCTAGACTTATTCTGTATTTAGCATTACCTTGGCATCAGAGATTCTATAACTAGAGAAGGTGACTGGCCAATATTCCCAATGAATACTGTTGTAAAAAATCTTTAATAAAACACTAGTAAACTGGATTCAACAGCACATTAAAATATACACCGTGATCAAGTAGAATTTATCCCTAGCAGGTGCAAGAATGTTTCATCATCTAGAAATCGGTTTGACATAGCGTATTGTCTTAGTTACTTTTCTCGTTGCTGAAACAGTATACCTGACATTCAAAGGAGGGAAGGTCTATTTGGCTCACAGTCTATAGAGGTGTCAGTTCATAGCTGGCTGGCTCCAAGGCAGGGTGGCACTGCAGAGGGGCGTCTCAGAGGAGAAACAGTTCATGGCAGGCAGAAGGCAGCAGGGCCGTGAAGTTGATAGGAAGGAGCAAGCAGCAAGCAGCAACAAATGACATTTTTTCTGTCCCTTATATTTTATCCAGGCTCCCCACCCTCAGGGCAAGTAATGCTCACACCCAGGGTAGCATCGCACCATGAATCAATCCCAGCACCACATCCTTGATCCCAGCAGCACACATCCTAGATCCAGCCTCCAGAAAGCACCACCTGTGATCACATAAGGCTTTAGGGAGACCTCTAGATACAAGCCATAACACACATTAACAGAGCTAGTTACTAAAACACAATTATCTAGATAAATGTAGAAAAAGAATTTGACAAAATTCAACGTCTCTCAAGATAAACACACTCAATAAGCCAGGAATAATTGGAGAGTACCTCATTATAATAAAGATCATATATGAAAAATCCACAGCAAACGTCATTCTCAGTAGTGAAGAGGAAACTTTTCCTCTAAGGCCAAGAACAGAGAAATGGTGCTCGCTCATGCCACTTCTATGAAATACAGTACAAGAAGTACTAGTAGCAGACGCAAGGCACATGTTTGCAGCAGGCTGTTTGTATCATTGAAATCCCTAGAAGGTTTGTCATCACTGTTCTAGGCAGAGGAGCTAGTCAAGAAAAAGGTAAAAGGCACCCAAGTCAGAAAGGAAGAAGTGGGGCTGGGGATTTAGCTCAGCGGCAAAAGCGCCTGCCTGGCGAGCGCAAGGTCGTGAGTTCGGTTCCTGGTACCGGAGAAAAACCAAAAAAAAAACAAAAAAAAACAAAAAAAAACCAGAAAGGAAGAAGTAGTATTATCTTAGCAAATGACACACTCTTCTCTGTAGAAAATCCTAACCTCTACACAAAGAACCTATGTTAAAGTAATAAACGAATTCAGTGGAACTGATACAAAATCAGCTGTGTTTCTATACACAAACGATGAACTATCTGAAAAAAATTAGGGACCTAATCCTGAAACCCTAAAGTAAAACTTCTACAAGAAAATATAGAGGAAAAGTTCATTGAGACATTGAGATGGGAAATAATTTCTTGAATAAGACAACAAAAGACAGGCAGCAACAACAACAAAAAAAAGCAAAAGCAGGCAAGTGCGACTACATCCAGCTAAAAACCTTCTGCACCATAAAGCGTACAATTAATGGCCCGAAGAAGCAGCCTACAGAATGGAAGCAAATACCTGCAAACCATCTGCTAAGAGATCTATATTCAAAATGTATTTGGAGCTCCTTCAACTCAGTATGTACAACAAAAACAACCCCATTTAAATGAGCCAGTTAAAAACTGGGTTGAGAATGAATACACATTCTCCAAAAAAAAATATGTCCAACATGAAGATGAAAAGGTTCCCAGCCACGCTAATCATGAGGGAAATGCACATCAAAATCATAATGACATATCGTCTCACACCCGAGTTAGGCGGTTATCAGGGCCAAAGAGTGGTAAGAAAGTGTCGGCCAGAACTGGAAAACGGGAGCCCTTGCCTACTGTTGCTGGAAATATAAAGTGATTGGGGCACTTAGGACAACAGTGTATAAGTTACTGTTCGTTGTGTTCCCTTACCATGCGTCTGTTTTCCCAGTGATTCATCAACCTGTTTTTTCTAAGCAGGCTCTACGTTAGGGTAGCTGCCTCCTTTTATATTGCTTTTTGATTGTGGTGAGAAAAACTGCAACAGTTTATCAATGTACATGAATATAAATGATGCTTTTACTGTTTTATACTGTAGAATAAAGTATGTCCTGATTCTTTTTAAACAGATCTTCCACACAGAAGGAGTAAAGCTGAACCTCCACCAACTGAGGTAAGTGAAGTTGGAAGAGAACTTCTAGTAGCCATTATTTTATAAAGGGATAAAATAGTTGTAACTGGAGAAACAATGGTAGATAAGAAGGAAAAAAAAACCCACCCAAGATGTTATTCAGTGATTTCATAGTTACTTGTGTTGGGGAAATATCTATACTGTTGCCTGATTTTTAAAATTTATTCTCAAGAAAGAGAGGGTTCAGCATAGAACAGGAACATTTAAGAATACATATGAAGCCGGACGTGGTGGTACACGCCTGTAATCCCAGCACTTGGGAGGCTGAGGAGGGAAGATCCTTGCGAGTTCAAGACCAGCCTTGGCTATAAAGTGAGCTCAAGGCCAGCCTGAGCCTGAACTGCATAGGGAGACCCTGTCTCAAAAAAAAAAAAAAATACATGTGAAAATAGGGGACAAAAGGTGTTGAGGAAAGAGAAGGAAAATAAGAAAAAAATGTGAAGTTTTGTGTAAGATCCTACAAATGGATGATACAGACCTAACTGTACTTTTGACTCTTTCTCACCAAAATCTTGCATCATTTTCTAAACTTTGCCCATGGAATATTATATGTTTAATAGTAAAAATGAAATTCACTTAATATAATTCACTTTTCAGCTAATTTTATAGGTGTTACTAATTCCATTGAGCAGTTAACCCCCAAAGAAAACATCAAAGAATAACAGGGGTTTTTTCTACTGATTTTGACAAACAAGCCAGTGGCTACCAAATACCAGTTGAAGGATCAGTGTGCACTAGTTGTCAAACCTATGGCATACGTGCTGTTTGTTACCAGTGAAAGCTCTAAAATGTTCACCGTCACTGGGTATACAGTTTTCCCTAGCAGAAGAAAGAGACAGTACAGAGAATTCTTTTATAATACAGAATTTATTCACGTTCACAAGTTGTCTTTTATGATACTTTTCTTTGTGCTGTAATTGCTGTTAGAATTTCCTTTATGACATATTGTAATTATGTTGTTTGGGTTATTGTGCTGTTAAAGTTTCTTTTACTTCATGACATATTGATCATAGTATAATGGTAAAATATCAGACCCCATATTTTCTTTTTTAAAATGTTGCTGACACCAGGCATGGTGATGCACTCCTATAATCCCAGCACTCAGGAAGCTGAGGCAGGAGGATCACTGTGAATTCAAGGCCAGCCCGGGCTACATAGTGAGTTCAACGCCAGCCTGAACTACATAAAAATTATTTTCACATTCAGTAAAAGGAACAGTTTCCCAGTGAGAGATATTTAGTAACATTGTATCTTTTGAAATTTGGAAGGCAATTTAGAAACCACCTAGTCCCGGATAGATCCTTGAAAGGATGAAGAAACAGGTCTACAGATTTAGGTGTCTGAGCTAGTTGAAGTATTTCAAGGTAGAACCTTAAAGCTCAAAAATACCTTACTCTTAGACCTGTACACCCTTTAACGTCGCTCTTTTAAAAAGAGATGTTGTTCATTTATAAAATCCAAAAATACATGAATAAATACTTTTATAAAACACTTCGTCATTTTTTATAATATTCTGTTGTCCATGATTTTAGGCAAATAGAGAATTTCTCATTGTCTTTTACTAAGGAATATATTTTACAAATATTCATGGTAACTTACGATAAAGAATAGGGTACAGTTGATTTTATTTTAAGTGCTTTCTAGTGAATAATGATCAACCAATAGTTTGTACTGATATATTTTTTAGTTGCTGGAAGACGATAAGAAAGTCCTGACTGTGCCAACTTTGAAGCTTGAAGACACAGATAATTCAAACGCTGTTGCTCCAAGAACTGAGGAATCAGCGCCTCCTCCCACAGATATTCCGCTCTTCGTTGTTCCCACCCTGAAAGTAACAGAAGAGGAGAAACTACCACCTTTAGATGAACAGCAACCAAGAGCCACGCTAGAGGATAAAATGAAAAACATGCTGTTACCGCCAGTAGTAAGACTGAGAAACACATATCCAAGCATTTTAAAATCAGACGGGTCTGCACCAAAGGTAAAGTTGAGAAATATCCGTGTAATTCCAGCGGAAGTGAGGAGGAACTTAGGCTCATCTCCAGCCGAAATAAGATGGCAAAGCAACTATCTAAACTTAGCTGAGAGAAAAAGTACAAGCTTTCTTTCCCCAGATTGGAAACCAAAAGGTAGCTTTAAAAGATAAAATCCAGAAGACCTTGAATTAAAGGGGTCTACCCTCATATTTGAAGAACAAGGTTAGCAAATAAAGATAATTTATTTTAAAAAGCAAATGAAGTACAAATAAATTGAAAATACACTTTAATGTCACCCATTAGAAATATTTTTAAGTGTATTAAATGTTTCTATCCCACTTACACTGATCAAGAAAACCTTTGAAGAAATAGCAAAGTAATTTGAGATGCCAGTTATATAAACTAATGTCCTAGACTTGTGAAAATTTGAGCCTAAAACATAATAACAATAACAAAAAATAAATTCAAAGGAAATTTAAAAGCCTGGAAAGGTATTTTAGTGGACATTTTAAATAAAACTGTCACAGGAAAAAGCATAGATTCTTCTTGTTATAGATAATTTTATAGGTTTAAAGTGAGAATGATCTGGCTATAAATTTAAAGGCACCCTATAGTAAAGTTTTTCTCAAAACAATAGTAACTTAGATCTTTGAATCACTATTTGGATCACTTTTACAAAATGATTTTTTAAAAAACAGCAATGTTAAAGGGTGTACAGGTCTAAGAGTAAGGTATTTGAGTTTTAAGGTTCTACCTTGAAATACTTCAACTAGCTCAGGCACCTAAATCTGTAGACCTGTTTCTTCATCCTTTCAAGGATCTATCAGACTAGGTGGTTTCTAAATTCTTTTCCAAATTTCAAAAGATACGATGTTACTAAATATCTCTCCCTGGGAAACTGTTCCTTTAGCGAATGTGAAAATAATGCACAGTCAGAAAATTTAGAAAACTGTGAGAAGCATAAAAGACAGTGTAAATAAAATTTATAATTCTATGGCCACATTTAACAATTTTATTTTATCATAGTCTTTGTTGTGCATATATATACTTTTTTAAAACACTATCAGATTTTATGTATTTTTATATTACGCTGTTTTTGAGGTAACATTTTAAGCACGCTACCTGAATTTTCTGAAACATTTGCAAGATGCAGAATGTCCTCAAGTAAGACTGTCCCATCATTTAAAAAATTTCCACGTTGCTGGACATCGTTTGACATTGATTTGACATTATTTGGATATGTGATTATCTCATTATCTGTGTAAATGACATGTTGGCAAGTTATTCTCCTAATAATTGTGCAACTCTGCATTCTTACCAACAGTATTTGAGTATTAATGCTCTTTAAGGATTGAAACTTGTGTGTACTTCTTAGTCATATTGATTTTTCCCTCCCATACATAGACATTATATCCTTTGCCTATTTATCTCTTTTGAAGACTTGGAGATTTTGCTTGGATTTTATAGTGAGTTCTCTTTATTTTAAGGATATTAACCACTGGTGTAGGCATGCTATTTTTCCATAGTTTCCAGTTTGACTTCTACTTACTGTCTGATTTTCAAAATATTCAGTTTTCATTTGATGAATTGTTTACTGGTGAATCGCCTCTCAAGAGTCTGCAGAACTGACATGATGCTGGATTGTAGCTGGATTCACGGTCATGTAGGAGTTTGACCGAACTGGACTGCGCATGATCTTTCACTTCCATGATCAGTACTTTGGAGGAAACAGTTGTAGAGCTGAGCTCAGCTGGGCTGCACGGACGCACGGTTTGATCCCTCTATCTCTGTCGCTTGGTAATTAGCCCTCTCCCTTTCTGTGTGTCCTCTTCTTATGCTTTCTCTATGCCAGCCGAACTTCTCGTATTGCAATTTACATCTCCAAAATATGAAAACGAAAGCTTCAGGACTTAAGATTTTGGCTTGGCCTTAGCACATACTCACTTCCACTGCATCTGTTGTAGCAAGTCTCAGACTTAGTTGGGAATCAGCGTGGGAGGGGACTGCAGAAAGGTAGGAATTGTGGGAGGTGTTGCTGATTAGGGACCACATTTGGAGATTCTCTGCTGCAGATTAACCACCGAGCCATTCATGTCTACATGAAAAACATGTTTACTTCCCTTCCAGATCTTAGTCTCATGTTATTACTACGTCAGGCTCAGGCTTGAAGTACAGATTTCAACATCAGAACTGGTCTGTGTGGGCAGCACTCCCTGGGCATGGCTCCTTTCAATTTACACGCTTATCTGTGAATTGAAGAGACCAGTTGTCTGTCTTATATATAATAGTGAGTCAGGAAAACTGGAATAGATACTTGCATCCCAAAGATGGAAGGAGGGAAAGCGTGAACCATTTAGCTGTCCACAGATCATAATAATTCTGAAGGTGTTGGCTTTCCCCTATGAATAGTCATATTTCCATAAGAAATAATTTTTGTTTGTAGTTTAATATATTTAGAATCTCTCTGTATGGTCCAAAAAAGTGGGGTTTCAAGTGCCTATTTTTACTTTAAACTTCGTCCCTAGTTCTTTCAGCTTAAAATGCTGTGATTCTCTTAAAGATTTTGTGGGCTGACTGTGTAACAAATTATTATATTAATTAGCAAGTATGACACCCTTAGGTATCTTCAAGAAAGGTAGTTGTTTCTTTGGATTGAGAGTCTGGGGGTGCTGTAGCACAGTATCCTTAATTTTAGAAGTGCTCCTGTCTAGCAAAGAGGGGCTAAGATTCTTAGAATAAATCATCTGGCTGAGGAGGTCTCTGAGGCATTACCTTAAATCTTTTTTGAGGTTTTGATAGATCTTAGAGCCACATGGTGATCTTGGCCTTCAGGTCACATTCCACTGGCAATGCCTTAGATTTGATTTTTGCCCTGAGGTCTTTAATTACTTTGATAATCATTAACAAGGAGAGGTTTGGATGATAAGCAGTTTTATTTTCCATCACCAGAAAATTTTTGCTCAATTATACTTGACAACTGAACTGCTCTTTTTGGTACCAGGAATCGAACTCATGACCTCAGGCTTGCCAAGCAGGTGCTGATGCTGCTGAGCTATAACTGCAGCTCCTGACCTGTCCTTTTTAAGTTCACTTCTGTGTACTTGTCTTTTGTAATACACATCTGAAAGGTGCTCTTTGGCACTTTTCAGCATTCTAACTAGAAATTTCCATAGCTAAATATTCAAAGTTGCTATCATGTGTGCTTTCTAAGTTCCATATTAATACAGGGTGCAGTTTCCAGATTTTCCACCACAGTAAGCAGTTGGCTGCCATTTTTACAGTATCCATTAAAAATTTCCTTCGTGTTCTTCTAGCATTCTCTTCAGAGTTTTCTTGAGACTCTAAACTTTCAACTACCACGAAGCCCCAAATTCCACATATTTTGAATTTTTGTTATGGCAGCATCCCATCCCCCGGTACTAATTTTTATATATTTGCCTTAAAAAATAATCACAATGACTAGTATCTGAAAACGTTCATATTCTCTCTCTCCCCCTCTCCCCCTGGCATTCCTGTGCAGTGATTATACTTGTATGGAAAGTTCTGTTCCACCCACTGTCAGCTGGGCTGTGTTATCCGGCTGCTCTGCTGGGTGAATCAGTTCCAGGACAGCCTGCTCACGTGTTTGGTGCCTCATTGGACATGGCAGGAAGTCTGATCTCAGTTAGGACCGTGGGGTGGCAGAGCCATGGACTCCATGTAGTTTTAGGGTCTCTTGTTCTTCATATGACCTCTTCATATGTTTATTTGTATTAAGGTAGCCAGTCTTCTTATATGACAGCATAAAGTTCTAGTTGGAGACCTTTAGAACATTTATATACGTAATATACAAATGTATAGAGTCAGCCCTCCGTGTCTGCAGGTTCCATATCTGCAGATTTAAACAAGTGAGCACTGGAAACATTCTAAAAATTAATGTGTCTGTATGGATTATGTGTAGACATTTTTGCCATTTCCCCTTAAGCAATGCAGTATTACCACTATTTTCATGGTATTTATATATTGGGTATTGTTAGTAATCTGGAGATGATTTAAAGTATGTGAGAAGATATGTGTATGTTATATGCAAAGACTATGCCATTTCATGTAAGGGACTCAAACATCTCAGAGTTCTGGGATTATGGGGAATGGGATCCTGGAACCAATCCCCCACTGATACAGAGGGATAACTACTTCAGCCTATCCTCTGGTAGGCTGAATCACAGTCTCTAAAAATTTCAGGACTAGCCTCTAGATTTGGTAAGATTTTGTGATCCTATATGGCAGAGACTGCAGATGTGACCAGGTTAAGCATTTGGGATCGGGAGATTGTTATGGGTTATTCATGTGGCCCTAAGTGGCATCCTTATGAGAGACAGGCAAAAGATTTGACGTACAGAGGAGAAAGCCACCTGGAGATGGAGCAGATATATGTGCAAATAGTCTACAGTATATCAAGCCAGCAATGCCCAGTACTCACCAGAAGCTGGAAGAGGCGATGATAGATCCCCCTTAGAGTGTCCAGTGACAGCGTGTCATACAGACACCTTGTTTTATCTCAGTGAAGCTGACTTCGGACTTCTGGTCTCCAGAACTGTGTGCACATAAATTTTAATTGTTTTAAGCCACCAGATATATAGGAATTTGTTAGAACAGCCACACAAAATTTAAACAGTGTCAAAGACAAGCATTGTTCTTCTCTAGCAGTGTGTAGTGGGGATTAGGCCACATCTCAGTTTTATGCAGTAGGTACCCAGCTAACTGCAGTTAACTTGTACTACCTTCAACCGCCCCCGCCTCAATCTCTTTTACGTCATGAGGTTTACATCAAGTCTGGAAACCTTCTGAGTTGAAAAGAATCTGTCTGATGCTGAGAATTTTTTGATGGTCCCTTGGTCCCACAGGATAACTCTTCTTTTTTTTTTTTTCCCCTGTACCGGGAATCGAACTCATGAACTTGCACTTGCCAGGCAGGCGCTGTGCCGCTGAGCTAAATCCCCAGCCCCAACTCTTCTTGAATTATGGA